CAGTGCCCCCCACCGGTTCCGAGCACAGCGGGTCAGGGGCTCAGCTCAGAGCCCCCAGACTCCCCAGGCCTGGCCCGGCAGCGGCTCCCACCAACTTCCACAGCCCGGACTTGGGGATTCATTCACCCCTTCTCTGCCTGGCCTGCCAGCCCAGCACTCTAGGAGGCTGAGGCAGGAGGGTCTCAAGTTCCAGCCTAGCCAGGGCCACTTAGTGATTTAGCAAGACCTGTTTCAGAATTTAAAAACAAACATTAGAAAGGGCCGGGGATGGTGCAGTCCCCAAGACTCAAAGAAAACATGGACTCTCAGCTGCCGGCCTACCCGGACCCTAGCGACTTCCTGCAACCCTGGCACGCGGTCGTCCTGCCCTCCATCCCCGCCTCCCAAATCAGATGGCGGCGGTGGCTCTTGTTATTTTTCCAGCCCTGGAGGTTGGTCCGAGGGCCTTGGTCCTGAGCTGCACCCCTAGCCCTAATTTCTGATTTTGAGACAGGGTCTTGTTAAGCTGTTCAGGCTGGGCTCTACCTTGCAGTCCTCCTGCCTCAGCCTCCCAGAGTGCGGGGAGGGCTGGCCCGTGCCACCACAGGCTTAAACCTAAGGGCAAACGACCCAAGTGCCGCCCTGCCCATCTGCTGAGCCCTGTCCCAGCCCTCAGCGGAAGTCCGTCTTCACCCCGCCTCCACATGCCGGAAGTCCAAGTCCCTGATCACCCCTCGGGCTGGCCAGGCCCCCAATTTGGGTTCCTTGTCCCTCCACCCTCCTAGCTACTTACTCAGTCTCTCTTCCCTCCTGCTTGGAGAAATGCTTCTCCGACCTAATGCATCGCTGATGGCATCCACCCCAGGAGCCAGCCTGGGTGTCCACAGGGCGGCTGATGACAGCTGTGCAGGCTGTGCACTGCCCAAGGACATGCAGGCCCCGGGCTCTTCTCCCTGAAGCGAGCTGTCAGACCTCCCCTGGCCTGGGCTCCAGCACCCAGGATTCACTCTGGAGGCGCTGGGGCTTCTTTTTCCAACTCCCCGGCCCCCGGGTCCTTGTCCAACCAAACCCTCCTCCCACTTTTGACGTCTGGAGCCTAAAACAATCTTCCAGGAGTAAAATAATAGAATTTTTAATAAATTTCTTCCCAAACAATTTCTTCTGATCGTCGTCACCAACAGGGCCGTGGCGGAGAGGAAAGCTCTCGCGGAGGTCCTAGAAAGTGTTCAGGGTAGACTCAGGAGAACAGTGCTCCGCCGGCGGCGGGAGGCCGAGGCGGGCCGGGGGGCA